TAGGGGACAGATCCCACAATGAGGGAAGCACAACGGTTTCCGGTCTCCGCCCATTCTGTGAACGCGAAGTTTTCCTTTAATTCAGTGGAACCAATACGGTCTTGTTCGCTCTGCATGATGGGGCGTGTTACAGGAGATGGGTTTTGGCACGGCGCTAGCCCGTCTTCCTCTTTTTTACTTTCGGCAAGCGGAAAAATTGTATTCATAGTTCGTACCAGTCGTTTTCCACCAATGTTCTCGTTCACCCGCTCCGCAACTGCTGGCGGCGCGCCAGTTTCAGCCGCCTGACATGCCCTAGCATCCCAACATTGGAAGCCAATCTGAAAGTTTGAATCTCTACATTTCATTCCGCTTTATCTTATTTCAGATGCTGAATCGCCTGCAGTAGGACGAGTGCTTGTATTTGTGAACCCAAACTCGGGCTCTGGGAAGGGTTTAGCAACGTTACGCGGCCGTGTTGAACCGCTATTGAAGAAGAATCATATCGACTACGATGTTATCATTACCAGTAAGTGTTTATTTCATTTACAACGCTTTAATCCCCGCTAGGATTGCGCTGAGAAAACATTCGCTATCCTTTCAAGGACTAGGTCCAGTCAGCTCCCATTTTTGGGCAGCCGTATCTTCTTACTCCCAGGATCATGTGCCTCGGGAAAGACCACTGAACTTCTCGACGAGACGCTCCACGTTCTAAGATGACTTGGTCGACGTCAAGACATGTCACTCTTGCTCCTAGATAGCAATGGACGTGGTTTTTCGCGTAGAACATGACCTGGCTGAAAGCCCGCTAGTCCAAAGCATACAGGGGGGCCAAAAAAAAAAGTCATTTCGGCCGAGCCACATATCAACGAAGTTTTCGCAGCCCAGACAGGGGAAGTGGATATGAGTACCAGGGTGGAAGATACCCAAGATCTTCCTCTATAAGCTGGAGCAGGCTGCCGCCAATCGCCTTCATGTACGCCAAAAATGAGAGTGCATCTCCAGTGGCGGCCTGACTGGAGAACACCTTTGGAATTCACGTCGCCTCCAAACAGCTGCGAAACTTCTTGAATGAAGTCATCCACAGATAGCTACCTGGAGGTCAGTACTCTTGATCTGCAAGACCTCCCACATCGACCAGCTACGGCAACGTCGCTACGGTCTAGGACATCATCTTCACCGTATTCGCCGAGGCGCGAGTTGATGGTATGGACCGGGGTACCTGGAAAAGGGGAAGACCGATATTTTCTTTGTAGACCCCGACTGAAGGTGAGCGCTGGCGGTTACATCAAGCAACTCGAGAAGAATATCCTCCCCACATGTTGTCGCTCGTACCTTCCTGGAGACCGTGTACTGATACAGGTTTTGGTGCCACCACACCAGTGGAATCGAAGGGTCCTCGCCGAAAAACCTCTTCCTCCTAGCTTGAATGAAAGGGCGCTTCGTACCTGAAGAAGATGCAGTGTTGAAGTATGCCCCCTGACCTGAACGCCCTCAATTACCTGGTTCGGGCGGAGTTCGATAGGGTGGTCTACGGTGGCGGAGAAGTCGACTACCTCGCTCAACTCCGGTACCCACCCACTTTCGCGCTGGGCCGAATCCTCGATTGGCGGCTCCTCCAGAAGCTGTGACGGCGAGTAGCCATTTAGAGTATTTAATGTGCCTTTAACATAGAGGGGGGCGGGGGGGGGGGGGGTGGGGGAGGGGGGGGGTTGGGGGATGGTAGTGAACATGTCCGATAAAAATTTAATAAAGTGTAACTTATAGCGCTTTGAAAGTCATGAAGGCAAAATGACTTTTTTTGGCCCCCCCCTGTATAGCCCAGTGGTTCTGAACCACCTTAATAGGCAAATTCTATAAGGCAGAGCTATTCCTTTTCACTACTGAATCCCTGTTTCTGAGATCATATCTGTGACTGAGTAGAGAACGGCCCTCGTTGCTTGCCGCCCACGCAGATGCAAAGTCGGCAATCGCCTTCAGATAACCTCGCTCTGTGGGTAGAACTGTAGAAACCATTCTTCTCCAGGCCAGTAAATGAGTGAAGAAGGCATCAAATGTTAGGTCCCGCGCTCCGTCCCATAGGGCCACGGGTGGAATGTGGCCCATCAATCACGAAGGAGTGTAGTACCTGAGGAAGGACCTACTCCTGGGCCCCATAGTACAGTGCCCCACTACAGCGACATTATCATAATTAAGCCATGCAGTCCGTCCCACTCATATAATGGGTTGTTTTTTTCATTTTTGAAGGGAAACTTCTATTGGTTTATAGCCTGACTACGAATTTATGCTCACAAATAGCCAAATGTGCACCGTTGTTTCCTTGACCAAGTTCCCCATACCTGGGGATTTAGAGCTACCTCTACTTTGGCCAGAGACAAGGGTACCCGCGTAATACTGCCTGTTTACCGTTGCTCTTCTTTTTGCCCTTGTTATCTATATTATTGCCAAGCAATCTTTTCCATTTTTTAGAACCGATTGCCTTGGCAGCGGTCAGCCCGCAGGTGTGCATCAGAGGCTAGCGGCCTGTTTATTACCTGGGATCTTGGAATAGGGCTAAAGACTGGATAAACCATATCCTGCGCTTCAAATTTTCACAAGGAATAAGCGGTCAATCCACCACAGCTTCTTACCCACGCTACTATAGCGTTGGCGGTAAACTTCAGAATGGTCCCTTCCGAGGCACAACGCCGTATCAAATTTGATCCATTGTTTGCTCTTGTGCTGCCCCTAGAAAAATGGCAGTGGAAGTGAATATGCTGAGTTCAAAAACTCACCATCTCACCCTCTTGTGGGTGAGAGTGTGTAGCCTAACCGCTTGTGTAGCCCAGCGCTTTCCTGAGCTTCCGCAGCCTCCGTGGTGGAGAAAGGCTGAAAGCGCTCCATATTCAGCCCCTTTGCTAGCCCATAATCCGCAGAAAACGAGTCTGTATCTCCTCACTCTCTTGATTCTAGAAGACGCCCTTTCAGCTAGTCACTACGGAACTGACCAGAGCACTTACAACATAGAACCGCACTTTATTAAAGTGCCAAAGCACTCTTTTCAGACGGTCCAAATCACGCAAAATCGGTGGTTCGATCACGAGACGACCTTGGCAAGTACAACGGCGTGATCATTCTATCCGGTGACGGCCTCGTATTTGAGGTTAATCTTCACAACATGTAGTGACTGTTATTCATTTCACCGTTTCACAAAATATGAATATCCAGAACTCAAAATGATGGTGGGAAGCGGAGAGGGAGGGAGAAGGAAACAAGGATGGAATGTAACCATTCGGAAATCTACTAGGCCATAAGAACTTAGACGACGTTTTGCGATCTTCCTTAAGAAACCTCAAAATTTTCATTTCCTCCCAAGGGGCTGAGTTCGTAGGGGATGAAGGAACAAGTCTTCGCCGTTGATCACTTCCTTTCTGGGTGTGGTAAGCTGCCTACTTCCTTTCAGCTCGCTGAAGCTTGCTGAATGCGATGCGGCCTATACAATGACTTGCGAGGGCCAGCCAAGTGAGTGTTCCGGTCCTCTCAGACAGATCCTGGCACCGATTCACCGTCCCCGGAGTGTAGATGGGTAGGTTGGCTTGGGTGGAAGAGAGGCAGTTCGGAAGTTGACCCCAAGCTGCGTGAGTGATGAGCGTGCCACTTGCTACTACAGCTCTTCCGCCTTCCAGATGTTCAGAAATTTCTAGGTTTCCCTTAGATGCACCCTCTGGGTACATGAAGCGCTTCTATAGCATAAGATTCCGAAAGACATGAGGTAAGGGGCAGTCAAAAAGAGTTATATGCTTACGGGGGAGGAGGATATGTGAAAACACCTAAACTGGTGAAGCTCGTGCTCTACCATATCCTGCCCTTCGAGTCGCTTTCAGAAAAACTCTGGGTAGCCTTTGGAGGGAATCTCTTGGAAGGGATACCCAATCCCAATGCGAGATCTCCAGCAGCTGGTTCCGTGGCCAAGGCAGTCTTACAAATTCTCATTTTTTCTCAGATGGCTGTAGAATGAACAGCAGTTTATTTTTAGACTGCCTTGATTTTCGCGTAAAAGGACAGTTTACCTCATGTGGGCGAAATCAGGCCTGCCAATCTGCCTTCTTCTCTGGCGCCCCCGCTCCTACTCTTTCACGCAGGAGCACCATTGAGAAGGCAGCGGCAAGCCTGATTTCCCCTACACCATCACCATGAACTGCACCTTCAAGCGGACAATTTCAGGTGTTAAATGGATTCACTGAACGACCAGATGCTGCCAGTATCATACCATCGTTGCCGATCGGCATTGTGCCAAGCGGATCAGGCAATGGCCTGCTTTCGTCGTTGTTCTACAGTCGAGGGTGAGCAGATTGGTTTTTTGGACAACGTGGTGCTCCAATTTTCAAATGTCATCAACATTTTTTCTTTGGAACTTTCCTTTTTCTTTTTTGAGTATTTCCGTGAAATTTTGAAATTTTCCCGCTAGGTAGCGCAAAAGCCCCTGAAGTGGTGTCTCCCCTAGTGTTGCGGAATTGTCATATTGCCATATCGTCTTGGAGGTACAGTCCATATTTGAGAGCAAAAGGTGGCGTGAGTTGTCATGCGCGACGACAGCATCAACGCAAGGGAGGCAAAGACATTCACATATAACAAAGGTAGTGGGCACGATCGTTGGGGGCGGGCGGTTCCTGCCAACGTCGTTGGTGGAAGGGGACGGCGTTTGGCCACATCTCGCTCAGCCCCTCCACCAATAACTCTGGCAGCAACCATCCGCCCACAGCCATCGTACCCATTGCCTTCAAGAGAGAAGAAAAGGCATGGGAATACGCAGCTGTCACCGGGACGCCCCTTTTTGCTCTCTGAAATGAACTGTACACGCCTCATCACGATGATCTTCCGCAGCAGGAGGTTGATGCATCGGATTGGTGAACTGCACCATATTCATTGATCATGGCCATGATCTCTAAAAGGCACATGATCTCTAAAAATTGGTTTCAGTGAGCCACTGAGAAATCCCAAGTTCACCGAACGAGCTATCGATGTCAGTTGTTCTCCTGGAGCACATTCGCAGCCGTGCTGAACCTAATTCATGTTGACGACAGTGGAAAGAGAAATATGGCATCCTTTCTCAAGCGTTGGCTGAGGGTTTAATGGCTGACATTGAGTTGAGCGTTCTCAACTACCTTACATGTGTCTTCCTTTTCTGCATCTGTTAGCATGACGGAAGGTCATGATCACGAATTCTAATGCTGCAGTTCATATTCGAGGCAGCTGTCCACCAGCCTCTACAGCGTCCACTAGCCATTCGAGGCGTCCGAGGCGTCGCGAGTGGGAAAAGCATAGTATTCATCGGCGATTCTACCAGCGGTCCATCAGGCGGTCTCTTAGGGCCTGGAAGTAGAAGTTCGATCTAGCATCTGCCTGGTACGAGCGACTAGGAAGTACCAGCTGTTTTGCCACCCTCTCAGTGCCATACCCTCTATCACCACGTCTTGCACCCGTCCCATGTTCGCTTATAATCTAACAGTTAAATTTAATTTTAATTTATTACATGCTCAACAGACATGTGAAATTCAGACTATGGAAGAAATAACACAAATCAAACGAGCAAAATCATCAACTAGGTTTATTACTACCCTCCTATTTTTTGCGTCTCCATATCTCGGAAGCTGTGAGGCTAGCAAAATGCTGGGTGACGCTCGATCGATATCTACACTTTCCCAGTCGCGGACGATGCCGGACGCTCGAAACGCTAGTGGACGCTGGTAGACGCTAGTGGACGCTGCCTAATGATACCTATCTGAAGGGATAAAAGGGTGCAGGATTCGCAATTATTCAAGCTCGTTCTAGCACTCCCCGCGTTCGGCCTCCGCTCAGAATCATGGTGGCCCTTGATGAAATACCACGCCCAAACGAAATCTGATGCCAATTTACTTTCCCCGAGGTATGTAGAAGGCTGGTTGGCTTGAACGGGAGCCAAGCAGGGATTTGATCCCTTGACGTGCGTGTGTCAAGCCTTGTCACTTGCCACCACACCACTTCCGCCCGATTTTCATGCAGACCTTTGAATCGACTCCGAATGTTGAAAAACGAACATCCTACTCCGGGGCTTTTGCATTGGAAATGCCCGTGCAATTTCGTTGTCGATTAGAAAAATGGAAAGAATTATACAAGGTGGCCATCTGCCTTCGGACGATGAGTTCCCTGACGAGGCGGACGAGCTACTCGTTCTCATGAAAGTAAGCGTTTCATGCTTCAAGAGTAGCCTCTGCCTCTCGATCCCAGTCGTACCCCTAGATGAAACAAAGCTTACGTTGCCGTCGTTCCCTCCCCCCCAACCTCCCCGCCTCACTTAATGATAGATGATAGATTTATAGAGACCAAGAATCCAATCTTGTAAGCCCTGCGGTGCCGACTGAGAGGAGCGTGTTTATAAAAAAGGCAAGCGACCTGAGGTAAGTTGGTAATCTGATCGCGCCCTCTGCGTGGACCGGCAGTTGTCCATAGATACACATTCTCCACCAAGCTCATAAATAAGCCAATATTCACGCCCTCTCCGAGCTCTTGGTACGTTCGGTATGTAGTTGCCTATTAGACTGTGTTTCAGACATTGAAAGCGAGCGATGGCGAAAGTCACTTGGATCCAATCGATTCGTTCTTGGAGGCCTTATTCGAGCTTTAAGTGAGTTTTTAAAACATTCCATGAAGGTAATTTTTGTATAAAATGGGAACATCGTACTATATAAAGGAAAAACAAATTAACTTTAGGTTGTACGATGAGCACCTGCCGCTTTAGAGTTACTCGCCCGAAGGCTGAAGTCAAGCAGCTTAGTGGCATAAGCAGCGAAGTTTTACGATACCTGATAATCTTAAAAGCAGTGGGTACGACGGCCGGAGCGGGCGATTTCGGCCAACGTCATTGGCAAAAGGGTTGAATGGGGTGTGGCCGAATCAGTCTTACGAACCTTTCACCAATGGTGTTGACAGCAACCGCCCTCCTCTAGCCATTGTGCCCTGCCTTCTTCAAAAGTGTCTTGAAGCAGACAAAGTACAATACTGCACATCCTGGAATGAGGAAGGCGTGGCCGCATACTTCATTCGAACGTCGTGCAGGATCTGCTTTTCGTGGGAGATTCCCATTTGACATGGTATCCTGTCTTGTGCTCGAAAAAAGCGTGATAAAGTGTATCAAAACAAAGATAATCCAACCAAGGGAGACCCCTCTGCTACATTCAGTGAATAGTACGCAGCACGCACCTCCCATATTCGGGATATGGAGGTAAAGGCATGCGTCTAATCGATCTGATTTCTTCTCATCATTGTTTACTTCGCATTTAATTATAGCCTGTTCAGATTTACGCACTTATCGTGGTCGTTTATCCTATAAGCCTTACGTGGGCGGTAAGAGAAGAACCGACGCCACCTATGATATCTACGGAAAAACCGTCAGCGAAAGGGTAAGGAGCACACCTAATCGTTTTCCGGATCATTCTTAACCGAAACGTCGACAATAAGCATCTCACTTTTCAGAGATCCGTTAATGGTTATAGGGGGATTATGAAGGATCGAGGTGCTAACGAATACATACAGTCATTATCACATACATACTTGGCTTGGGGAGGACCTGTGAAAAGGCATGATTTGAAAGAGCCAGGACAGCCTACTTCTCCACCAAATGTTTGCCAGCCTCAGGAGGGCGTCAGCTTGGCCTGCAAAGGCCTGATAAAATTCACGCCCCCACACACCTTCTTCTTTGCAGGGGAAAAACTGTAGGTAAAACTCGTAGCCTCCGGCTACCCATGTTTTCCAAAGGACGGTCGGGCCGATCGCGGAGTAGAAACCAGTGCCTGGAAGGATTCCGTTTTGCTTTCAGAAGTACGGGGCTAGGGATTATTCCACGTTAATATTGGAATGAACTATTCTAGATGACGTGCTGTTCGGCTTCAACAAATAGTGAGGAAATATAAGCATATCCCATCGAGCACTCGACGGAACTTGGCGATCCCTTCATTCGGAACGCGTCGTCGATGTTGAGGACGATGTCCCAGAGGATTGGATCAAAGTAGAAGGGGATTTCGTTGGAGTATACGCGGTGGGTAAATGGTTCGGTTTTCTATTTTGAGACAAAAACAACCTGAGAGAAATGTGAGATTTATGAAATAACATCAACCATTGGTCCGAGAGAGAGAGAGGAACAAAAAAATATCAGGTAGGCCACAAAGCCGGAGGGGGGGGGTCCTAAGGGATACACTTGAATGCATGAGAGCTAGGCAGTCAGAAAGGTCTCGTACCTCGCTATCCTGCCAGTCTCCATCCCCCAACTCCGCAAAGCAAACGTTCCCATCCGGAAGTAAGTAGGTATCTTTAGCGAGCAAATGACAGCTGATCTTGGAGCAGTTACCCAACAGAAGCACTCATTCAGTAGTTATCAATGGGATATTTCGATCCAATGGAAATCTCGTTCGAGGAGGGGTCGTTTTTTTCTTGCTGGAAAAAAGGAGCGGGTCCGGCAGACGATCCAGTTGCGCCTCCTCCCAAGTTAATGGAGGCCGACAATAAGCACTCATAAAGTGTTGTTATCGATAGTTGAAAAATGTAGTTGTCTAGGTAGCGAATTCCCATCCGCTCCGTTCAAAATTGTAGGGGATTTCGGGATTCTCAGAAAAAAAACGGTGGGAAGCTTTAGGAAACCAATAAGATAGTAGCGTCGATAGAGGAGGAGGATTGGCACCAGAGGAGAAAAATTTTGGAGGAGAGGCCTATGCTTTCCAAAAACCTTCCCTTGGGCATTGTTATGTCCTGGCTTAATAACATTCACAGATGAATGGTCTAAAAATCTGCTGAGAAGTGGCCCATTTGGAAAATATATGATGGGACACATTCCACGCTGCTCCCGTTAGCGGAACTGTCCTCCACTGTCTTGCTTATCGGTGCGCTCCTTTTCTTCACCTTCTTAGAATGAAGCAACACGACGAAGAACTCATAGCGGCAGGGCGATCCGCCCATCCGATCAGCGTGGAATGTGCCCACAGTACGAGTTTTGCAACGGCCATAAAAGATTGGAAATTCAGGGTACTCTGATCAGCAGTAAATGATGTGAAGGGAACCGTTGCTGAGGAGAACATCCCCCAACTGAAGCTGAGAAATCAGAAATTTCAGGTCACCTTATCACATATTTCCAATGATGGACCATTTGCACCTCGAGCTCGAATGGACGACGATCGCATCTACTTGACATACATACTTCGCAACGATTTAGCAAATAGGCTAGATCTAATTAAATTTCTCACTTCGATCGAGAAGTCAGAAACATTTGGATCTCCCCTTTGTGAAGGTACGAAATGGTGATTTCATCAAGATTTCCTTGCCGAAAGAAACCAGCGCATTCTACGGCGTTCAGCCTTTGAAAACTTCTATTGAGTAGAGACACTGCCCCCAATACTCATTCCAAAATAGCGGCGGCTCAAATACTGGATGCTAACGTTGTCAAAAAGCTATTGGTAGAATAGTTCGATGGGGGATGAGTGTCAGGGGGCGTGGAGTGAGCTCGCACGTTGCTGCGTTTTCTACCAATAGTGGCCGATTTAGGAAGAAATTCCAGAAGCATTTGAAGACACTTTCCACGATAATCAAGTGGGCAGGGATTCGCAACTGCGATTGTGCCTTCCCAATGATTGGTAATAGGGATGTCAAAAAAAGCATTGGTAGAGAAAGAACAGAAACAGCTATTCACCAGCGCCCCAAATGAAATCCACTACTCCTAATGGGAACCGAAAGCGTGACACATCTCAAAGGGATTGATTTGATTGGCGATTAGCTCTCCTCTATGAGAATCCTGAATTATTAAAAAAGGCCAATTTTTACACTTTTACTCCTTTTATTACTAGTTACAGCTAAGTATTTATAGGCGATAGAAGTGACAGCATTCCGACTGGAACCACAAGATTTTCGATCATATCTTGTCGTCGATGGTGAGGTCGTCGAGACAAAGAAGCTCCAAGCTGTAACGACCACTTTGAAGATGGCAGTTTTTGCGCCCGAGCCCTGTCATCTTTGAAACCCGTTCCCACTTTGGACGAA